AGGACAGGAGTGAGAGGTGACAAGGACTGTGCTTGCAAAAGCCTATCCACCCAGGACAGAATAGATTTGAGGACATGCATTCATCCATAGTCATTGTGAAGATGGCCCTGAGCATTGAGAGCTGATCTGTCAGGGTCTGAGAAGGATGCAGACATCCAGCCCCTTTAGTCCCTTCTAGATCCCTTGGGCTGTAAGGATAGGGACCAGAGTCAGTTCCACTAATGGTGCTGAGGGAGAGATGCCTGGGAGGCTCCACGAAGCGGAAAGGATAGAACAAGGGCGCCTAGAAGGAGCCCACACAGCTGCCTTCCTATAGAGGTTTGATCCAGCAGCACAGAGCTTCAGACTTAGCACAGGGATAGGCCAGAAGCACAAACCAGAAAATAAAGGAAGGCAAATAAAATGAAAGGGAGACAAACAGAGACCCAAGGGGTCCAAGATTGCAGAGGTAAAGGACAGGAATTGCGTCTTGCAGCAGAGCTATGAAGCTGCCGCCTAATGAGGTGAAAGGGCTCCCAACCAGATATTTCCAGCACCTTTAGCAAGCCACATGGACAGAGGTCTTGTCCTCTGGCCCTCTAATCAGTAGCAAAGCCATAAGAAAATGCCCCTGGGTCCTCAACAGGCATAGTAGGCCAAAAACACTTCCCTGGCAGACCCTGCCAAAGAACACCAGGAGACAAGAAACAGCAAATTTGAGAGTGGTCACCTCGACCCACAGATTTAGAAGCTTAGAGTTCAAGCCTGGATGCTGTTATTGAGGGTTTGATACTGCAGCAGCCAGGAGCTTCTGGAGAAGTGAGCCCTAGCTATACTCGCGCTGGGAGTGCTGTCTAGCAATATCTGTGAGCCTCCTCACGGATCAAGACTAGGGGGGAAGTCAGAAGCACAGGGTAGAGTGATCTTGAGCAGTGTTCTGCTGGTGTGGAGATGTTGCCACCATTGCTCCACATGCACGTGTGTATCCCACCTCGTCCCACAGGGGATTCAAGTGGGCAGAAAGGGAAAGATTCCTAAAGGGGCAGATGGGTGCAAGGGGAATGAAGACAGAGGCATTGAGGGGGAAAGAGAAGGCCCATCCAGGGCAGGAGGGCCTTCAATGCACACGTTTATTCACTAAGCACCTAGTGTGTGGCAGTGCTGTCTGGATCAAGTTATGTTAGGATTAGTGAATGTAGGTATCTTTGCCTACAGTAGAGCTTCAGTCTATGGGAATTCACTCCTCTGTCTCCAGCATACACTTGTGGGAGCCTCTTTCATGCACTCATGTGCCTCCATTCCAAAAGCAGGTGCATTCCCAGTGGAATCTGGTGAAGAGAAAAAGGGGAAGGGGAAAGGGCCGCAGGTCTGGATCCCACAGCTGCTGAGTCAGGCTTTTTTGAATGACCTCTCTGCTTCAGAAGTGGGACACATTGGCAGGTGGAGAGCAAAAGAGAAGAGAGGAGTACTCGGCACAGTCGGGAGCCCAGACATTTATGTGCATCCAGCTGGACTTGCTGGACTGTGAAATAAAGGACTATCTCTGTCTTCTGCTCTCTACTTTCCAAAATGTGGGCAGGATGCCTCTGTGTTGCCCAATGAAGCTAGACACAGCCTTTCAATTAAAGCTTTAGATACTGCATGGAACAAAAGACTCAAGTTTTGATGGTCATGTCATCAGCAATCCACACCTCTTTCCTCCTGCGAGCACAATCAAGCTGTCCCTCTGCAGTCCTCCTGCAGTCAGGGAGCCATGGAACTGGGTCTGCCCAAGAAGTATGGCCAGATGTACTACTTACCACCTATAGACCTACTTGAAAAAGCATCTGCCCCAGAATCCAGTGTCCTCTCTCTCCTTGCTCTGCTAACACCCATTTAGAGGACTCAGTGGATAATGCCAAAGGCCCAGAACTCAGGTCCATAGTCCCCAAAGGTCCATGGATAGAATTTGGGGAAATGTTTAGCTTTACTTTTACAAATCTCTTAACTGAAATCCAGCAGTTTATTCCATTATGATGGCACATAATCAGTCATGCAATTTTTCTACCCATAGAAATTATAAGTACTTATTACACAGCATGTTAAATTGTTGCAGAAATATCCAAAGGTCATTGAAACTGAACAAACTTTGAAACTGCACTGCTAATCCCATTGCTATATTTTACTTAACTTTTATATTATATATAAAATGTATTTAATTATTTTATTACAAGTATATAAAATTTTGAATATTTTGAGACTTAAATTTCAATATAATAGTCTCTTTTGTAGTCCAGTAAATTTAATTTCATGCATTTAAAAACCTTTCCAGGCCAGGTATAGTGGCATATACTTATAATCCTAGCATTTGGGAAGCTGAGGCATGAGGATAGCTTTGAGTTCTAGGCCAGCCTGGGCTACAAAGTAAGTTCAAGGCCAACCTGAACTGCATAGTAAAACCCTATCTCAAAAAAAATAAAAATAAGTAAATAAGTAAAATAAAAATCTTGCCGGCCATGATGGTGTATGTCTATAATTCAACAGTCAGGAAGCTGAGGCAGGAGTCTCCCTGAGTATTTGTGTAATCCTGGATCAAGGTCAATGAGGTCAAGGTCAGCCTAAACTAAATAATAATGAGATCATCTCCAAAAAATAAATATTTTTATTCTCTTAGACAGCTATGGGCTTTACTAGTTTGCCCAAGATGGTCTATGGCACCAAAAAAAAAAATTAAGAAGTCCTCCCCTAAAGAATGATGGAGCCCCTAGATCCCTGAACAACTACACAGAACAAAGTGCCCCTTTACCAGCACTGATCCAACACTCTGGCTATGAGATCAGTGAAAAATAACCCTTCCTCAACAACTGAGACCTTGAGGGTCATTTAGTATCCTCTGAGTAGTTATGGGGAGAAGGGAAGACTGATCTCTCAGCATAAGTTCCCTTTGGACTCACTCTTACACCTCCTAAATGCCCCCACACATATGGATGGAATGCCTTCAACACCCTCCCATCACTCCCAAACTTGTGCTATCCAATTCTCCCCAACCTTCAAGGCCCAGTTCAAATGCTACTTCCTCCAGGAAGTATCTTGGGTCTCTTCCTCCATAGATTTGACTGCCCCCAGTCCGAAGCACTAAGAGGTACCATCATTAGACTGCAAGACTGCTTGAGGTCAAAAATTGAATACATTCCCTTCTGTCCCCCAACGTGCACCCCGTTCCTCCATGAACTTAGTCCAGGGATGCTTTCTGTGTTTGCTACACGGGAGGCAGGTAGGTGATCGGAGATCTGTTTAACTCCACTCTATCTAGGACCACCCAGAGCATGCATGTTTAAGGAAAATGCAGGATGTGATTCAAACAGAAAAAAAAAAAATGTACTAGTGCTTCCCCACTCTGGGACTTCGATTTCCTTTCTTTGCATTATTTCCAGCCCAGGCTGGATTTTCCAGCAATGCATACTGTCCTCCAGGTCTCTGGGAAATGGTTCCTCCTTATCCTCATTTGTTCTCCATAGTTTCAATTACCAGTAGTCTCTGCTGTCCAATAACATTAAATGGCAAATTCCAGAAATAAATAATTTCTAAGTTTTAAATAGCTTTTATTGGAGTATATTGTTGTAATGTATTTTAGTACTACTTATTGTTGTTAGTCTCTTATTGTATTTAACTTATAAGCTAACCTTTGTCATAAGTATGAATCTATAGGGAAAAATCAACATATATAGGATCTGTACTATTCAAGGTTCAGGCATGACGGGGGGGGGGCCTAAGACAACAGCCCTGTGGAAAAGAGAGCACTGCTATAATTTTGGCAGCTGAAAAAGACTAGAAGTCAGGAAGGGGTTAAAAACAAGATGGGTCCTTTCCAACCCTAGTGAATGACACATCCTCCAGGGTCTCAGGCTGAGACCACCCCTTTGTCCCACACACTTGAAAGCCACACCCTCTCCCTTCTTGTCCAACCCTTCCCTACCCCCACCAACCACTTGCAGCCCTTGCTCCTGGGCAGGAGCTCTCACTCTTTCTGCAGAGCTAAGGAGAGGAGAACTAGAGCCTACTCCCCCCACCCCCTTACACACAGCAGCTACAGCAGGGACTAGAGGGTGGCGGGGAGGCAGTCTCTGGTCCTCTCCTTCAAAACTTGACTCCATGGTCCTTTTGTCTCCAGCACAGAGAAGCCCTGGGCTTGAATAAAGACCCATCTCTCCCCTCAGGTTACCTTGTAACACAGGGGCTCAGATCCCCAGTTCCTGCTCTCCATACGTTGTTCCCTCTGCCTCTTCCACACCACACCAAGCAGTGGACACCACTATGGCTCTACTAAAGGGCAGAATTCTGAATAACAGTAATTCCTCTTGTCTTCAGGGAACGCCACACACTCTTAGAGGCCTCACACTGGGAGCTGGGACAGAGTGATGCATCTGATTCAGAGTGACTCCTGCTTTTGAGAGCTCCTGGCCTGGTAAAGGAGGTGGAACAGTAAGCAGAAAGTAATACATCAAAACTAATTCTTTAAAAACACTAAAAGGGACTGGAGATTTAGCTCAGCGGCATAAGCGCCTGCCTTGCAAGCAGGCAGTCATGAGTTCGATCCCTGGTACCAATAAAAAGGAAAAAGACCAAAAAAAAGTGTACCACCTTAAAAACACTAAAAGTAGCTGGTGATATACATTTACAACCCTGGGTACTCAAGAAGTTTAGGCAGGAGGATTGCAAGTTCACTATCAATCTTGGCAATTTACGAAGGCCCTGTCTCAAAATAAAAAATAATTTTAAAAGTCTGGGAACATAGTACAGTGGCAGAATAGTTAGTTGCTAGTATGTAAGGTCCTAGGTTCAGACTCCAGTACCGGAAAAAAAAAAGTAAGTAAAAAATTAAAACACTAAATATCACATGAGACCTAGGGATAGGATCTAATCTCAGGCTGGGGGAACTAGCTAGGTGAACAGTAGAAAGCAAGAATAATCAAACCATATGAAAAAGAATCTTTGACTCCTGGACTCCTTAAAGGGTCGACTGAGATTCTTAGAATCACTCCTTTAATCAATGACTATTTATTGTGCCAAATATCATGCTAGGTAAAGAGATCTCAGAACTGAAGGAATCTCATATCCCAGTGCTGGCCTTGGCCTGGCTTCTCTATGCTGCTTGTGAGGGATAAACTGCCCTTTCCAACTCTGAGGACCTAGAAAGAGGAAACAGGGATGTCAGAATGAAGACTATTCTGGATGTCAAAATGAAGACTATGTCCCTCTGTGCTGAGTTGCAGAAGGCCTGGTCCCCTGGGAGCTCTCTGAGGCTGACCTTGGCCCTCCGGGAGGGATCCTGGCTCACTACCCGTGGCAGTGACTGGTGACCCCAGTGCTGAGCGCTCTGTTGACTGAAGTCAGACAGGACAGGGTTTGGGGTAAAGATGTACACATTCACACATGTACACACACACACACACACACACACACACACACACATACACACACACAAGCCTATCAGACTTGGGGAATGAACTCTGTCTTAAATTAAATCTTTCAGTCATTCTCTCTGAAAGCCCAAGGAATGATTCCTTCAGAGCCCACATTATAACGTTCATTAAATACACATTTGTGTGTTTCTTTCTCTTCTTCAGTAGACTGTCACCAGCCTAGGGACAGGAATCACGTGCATTTTGTTCACCCTTGTATCTTCAGCAGAAGGCAGAGGTCGAGGCACAGTGTGTCATAAGGCTGTTGTAGGTGGGCACAGTGGAGCACACTGGTAATTTCAGCACTCTGGAACGCTGAGGAAGGAGAATTCAAAGCGTGAGCCCACCCTGAGCTACTTAGCAAGACCCTCTCTCAAATATAAAAAGAAAAATGTAAAGTGATTCGGGGAAGCTGGGAATACAGCTTAGTGGGAGGTCACTGGGCTGGACACCGGGTAATAAAGGAGAAAAAAAAAAAAAAAAAAAAACGCTGTTGAAATAAAGTACGCTTGCTTAGTGGCCATGGAAGGATACTGCAGGTGACATGGCAGCCTGGTGGTGGTGCATTTCCTTTTACAGAGAAAGAGGATCCAAGGAAGTAAGGAGCTGCCTGTGTCTTTGGAGAAGGGTGCCACGTGGCAAGGCTGGCACTGGAGCAGGGATAGAGGCATGGCAAGGTACTTGCAGTCCGGGCTCCCAAGGCCCAAAAAATCAATCCCCTTGAAGACTTCTCTCCTTACACTCAGTCACCTTCTTAAAGTGGAGAACTCCTCTGTGCTGGAGCTGTAGGCTGTGCCTGGCCAGGTACCCTCCCTCCAGCCAGGTATCCCAGAACATAATGAAAGGGCTGAAGAGAATGGTGTACCCCAGTTACCAATCTAGGAGTGGAGTGGGACAGACTTGCTGGAGTACAAGAGCCAGTACAAGCTTAACGTCTAATAAAGGCAGGGGGAGCCTTGAGAGCCAGAGTACAGGTCACCTCCTGTAGCCCCAGCACATCTACTTAGGCTCATCCTTGCTAGCACCTGTTCAGGCCCCCTCAGAGCAGGGCACCATGGTGGCTATAGAGTCCTCCCTTTTCAGTGCAGGTCGCCTGCTTTGGAGCAATGTCGTCCTGGCTTACAGAGCCATCCCGTAAAGCCCAGTCAAGCCCGAGGTGGGATAAGGTCACCTCGGTGAGTACAAGGTCATTCTTAGCTCAGAGTAGTTAAGTCCTGCTCTATTCAAGGTGAGCTCCGGCGATTTGGGGTCAGCGGCGCCCCCAGGTGGCTGGACCACGCCGGCGCTTGGGATCGGGTGCCCCGGAGGCTTTCAGGAACCTCAGTCCAGAGCTCTCCGCCTTCGCCTCTCTCACCCTGGCCTGAGGAGCCTCCCCACTCAGGCCTGGCTGCTTTCCAATACTCTTGGAACGAATATTTGGGACTTCCTTTGCTTACAGGATGCAATTGGGGTGCACGAGCGCAAATGAAATTCACAACCCCAGATGTTGAGAAAGGAGAAATGTCACCGGGAAAATCCAGCCCCAGCCCCAGAGGAAAAAGCTATGACCCAACCTGGCCCTTCCACCCAGCTCCTCCCCACTCCCTAGGGTTTCCCTAGGCACACCCACCCACACTGCCGATTTGTCTCTGAGACCCAAGGCCCGTACCTCCCCCGCCCCGCGCCCCCAGCCCCACACAATCTGAAGTTCCCAAGCTTGGTCTCAGCAAGGAAGTGCCCTGCTCAGGTTTGGAAAGACTTTTCCTCCTCAACCCTCCCCTACAGGTTCCAGTTTCCTAGCTGCCTCTGGGGTTCCCCCAACCTTTAGGTCCTGGCAGGGCTGCCAGAAAGAAGGGGGAGGGCTTGCCCGGACAGAAATAAAAGGAACCAGGTAAAGGATCCCTTTCACTTTCGGTGCCACCTTTTCCCAGTGCTATCATAGACCAACAACTGGCGCTGAGCACGCCACAGGCTTGCAGGTGGCCTTTCACCTCGAGCTCATCCACACGCCCCTCCTCCTCAGAAAAGCGCTGCTCACCAAGACCTATCTTTCCAGGGCCCTGCCAGGGGCAGAGAAAGCCCAGAATCCCACTGAAGCCCCTCAAATCCAGAAAGGAAGGGAGCCAACCTCTGGCCTATACGGCGGCGCCAGCAGAAGCTCCAGGAGCTGCCTGGACTGTGTCTGCAGGGTCCAGCACAGGCCCATAGACCACTCTCGCTGCCCACTGCAAGCTGAGGATGGAGAAGAAACTCTTCAGCAGACTGGAAGGAGAAGCTAGTGAAGTCCAGTACAGGTTCATTTATTCCAAGTTCATTTCTCAGAGAAACTGAGACCCAGTGAGAAGGTAAAGTACTAAAGTCAACATTCTAACTAGAACCAGGAATCCTTTTCTCTCCATCCCAAATACTAGACAATCTTCTCAGCAGGTGCTAAGAAGACCCAGGAGGAGGGAAGAAGAGAAACTAAAACCTAGTACCTTCCAAGAGTAAGCATAAATCAGAATCCCTAATATTACATGTGAGCTCTCATGTGTACACACACACATGCATGCACACGCACACGCACGCTACACGCACCCCCAAAGTCCTGTAGCTTCACCAGCATATCTGTCCTAGGAAGGAACCACTGTAACCAGGGCAGATTAGGGCGTGGAGCAGATTTTCTCCCTTTATTCTTTACTTTGTGAAAGGCCTATGGTTGACTGGGGCAAGACTTGGAGAAGCCAGGTGGCCAGCTTCCGGAGACGTTCTCTAGTGCACAAGCAGCGGGAGAGAGAGGGAAGTCAGAGCCTCAGAAAATCTAAAGGAAAGATGATTAGCTGGCAAATTCTGACCATTCCCCCGAATGCACACACACCCTTCTTTAGCTCCCCGCGGGCTGCTGGTGCCAGCCTTTGTGCTGCCTGGGGCAGGGTAAAGGATCCCTCTGGTTCTACAGCAGGCAGAATGGAAAGCCAGGCCCTCTCACCAGCCTGTGCCCCTCCTTCCCACCACCAACACCTCACTCACCAATTCCAATTTGTGTCCTGATTTACTCCGATAATTATCCGTTCTACCATACTGATCTCAACTTTCTTGCCATCTTTCCTTTGGAAAGAGAGATTCATAAGGAAATACAGTCCTGTAACATCTGAGTTTTCCCGGGAGTTTAGGGGAGAGGCTGGATTTTGAATTTCCTCAAAATATCTGAACCAATATCTTAATTGCCTATATTTTTGCACAAAGATGACAGGGTCCGACTATAACTCCCATCCTTAGGCAAATGCTCTGCTCTAGACCTATTTCCCTGGCCATTCGGCATTAGCCCTAACTACCCTGCAAACTTTGGTGTTAAGGGACTCTACAGTCTGCACCTGCACCTTTGATGCAGGAGGACAGTTTCCTGGGAAGGAGAGGCTCCAAAGCCACCTAGGACTACTAGGCCAGCTCTCTGTGCAGGCTTGCACAGAAAGAGAGGAGGCTAACAGCATCAGGCAAGACAGGAGCCAGGGAACAGACAACGCAGCCTTTTGGATAGTAAGGACAATCAGTCAGGCTACAAGGGTTGGATATGACGGGGAAAGGAAGGACGAAACAGGAGCCTGCTTCCCTGCCAGGCAAGCCACACATCCGCTGCAACGTCGCTTTAGGTTCTGCCTTCCCAGCCTTGCCTGCAGTTGGGAAGGCGGCAAAAGGAGAACAAATTCCAGTCTCTACCGATACAGAAAGAGGCTGGACCCAAGTTCCTTCCTCCTCACTCCGCCAGGGGCCCATTCCTAACCTTTCCATCCCAGAGCTCTCCACCCATATCTTCTTCCCAGCTTCTGCCAGAGCCACCCAAGGAGATTCCACACTCACAGACTCACAAATACACACATTAACACACATGTAATCATTTAAGGATGAGGGTGTATCTCAGTGGTTAAGCAACTGCCTAGCGTGAACAAAAGTTGAGTTCAATCCCCAGCACCATGAAAATAAAATTGTTCGCCTGTAAGTATTGTCACCTTTGCATACTGGTAAACTCACCCCCCCCCTCACATGCAAACATAAATACAATCATAGACACCAAAAAAGCAAATTCACATACCAAAAAAGCAAATTCACATCTACTCCCCACAATGCTTGGAGACATCGTGATAAAAAGAATTTTTAACCCCAGAACATCAAATTTCTTCTTTTTTTCAAATATGGCGACATTCGCTTGTTTTGCCTTTCCTTGGGTCAGCTTCACAACTTTCTTGTAATGATTCAAGGCAGAAGTTTGCTGAGGTGCCTCCAGGACAGTGCCTAGCACTCAGGAGGTGCTCAGGGAGCAAGGGAGAGGAAGGCGGGGAGGGAGGCAAAAAGGAGGGAAGGGACGAACCATCTAGGAAAGCGATTTCTAGGATGGCTGTGAATTAACTCGCCTGTGTCACCCCTCCGACCAGAAAAAAAAACCCTTCCCAACTCTAGCCTCACAGGTTTTCAGATGGTCAGCAGAGTGATCAAGGGACCCCGGATGTGGGGTGAGCAGATCAGTGGTTTGATCTGGGAAGTGGTTTAACGCATCAGAACCCAGAAGCGGATTCGTAATGCGCTGCCCTCACACTGCCGCACTGAAGACACGCGCGTTTGCAAAAGCACGCTAGGAGCAATTCCCGCGAGCCGGAGACTCCACCAAGCCGGGGAGACTGGGGTAGCCGAGATGAGGCGAGCCTGGTGCAGAGCCGGCCCTTGGGAGTCGCCGGTCCTGGGATCCGAATTCTACAGCACTGGGAGAGTCGGGGGTTCTCTCAGCTGTTCTTTCCAGCTCCGCAACTGACCCGCCCAGTGACCTCGGCTTGGTCCTTTCTGCTCAGAAGCAGAAGGTGGAGCCGTCCGTACCCTCTGACTCCAGAGGTCGGGGCATTTTCTTGGAGGTGACAGTGCATAATCAGACGCAGCCCAAAAGACTGGACGTCTGCAGGCGACTCCTAATTGAGACGCGAACCTAAATGATGACCCAGAAGAGGCAGCGGAAGGATAGCTCGGGCTTCCCAGACTTTCCACTCCTAGGCGGACCCAGCGCATCTGCATGTGAATAGATATGGCATCCCAGCTCTGATGTCCCAGTGGCCCCGACACCTGCTGGGAAAGGGGGTGCAAAGTGACTGTCCTCGTAAGCGATGACAAATTGAACAATAAAATCCACTCCTGTACCCTTAGACCTCTACACACACACACACACACACACACACACACACACACGTTAGCGGTGTCCACACAAATAACTTCAAGTACACTTTTTAGGTTGGCAGTAATTTTTTAGAAATCGAAGGGGTGAATTTAAATTTTTTGTTCCTCCAATAATTCGCTGTTTTCAGACTTAAAATCTGTGCAACCGTGATTCCAAAGATACTTCTGCCAGCACAGACAGAAATGCTTCCAAGATGAGATGAGTTTGGGGCAGTTTTCTAACTTCTGGGGAAACTGAGCACAGATCTCCCGAAGGCCAGCTTCGGGGTGGGTAACCACGCACGACTCCGGGAGCCGCGGCCGCGCGCATCCTTCCAAACCGTCCGCGCTAGGGGTCTGAGGCGCTGTCCTCGGGAAGCAGGGGTCCCGGAGTCACTGGGCGGAGGCCAAAGGGGCGGTCGAGACTGGGTTTTTATGGCCCCTTCGGGACGGAGACGTTTGGGGAGGCAGTCAGCGAGCCCGAAGTAAGCAAACGCGTGCAGCCTTGGCCGTGTGGAGAAACGGAAAGCCGCGACTAAGCGCTATTTCAGCTTGGAGTCCGCGTGGAACGAAAAGACGGCCATTCGCAACGACCCAGGACTGGAAGCCGGGAACCCGAGGAAGGTCGGAAGCCACCCCGAGGGTGTCGGCGCGGAGACCCGCGGCAGTGCGCACGGAGGAAGCCGTCTTTCTCCAGGCGGCCGGAGCCTCGGCACCTCCCCAGCGGCCGCAGCTTCCAGCTGCAGCGCGCTCCGCCGCGGAAGGAGGCGGTGCCCGCTCCGCCCCGCACCGCGCCGCGCCCACCAGCCCGCGGACAGATGCGTCCCCAAACCGCAGCTGGGAACCTGTTCTCCTAACAGATTCCTCCGTCCATACGCTTCTACGCGGACCTTGAAGAAAAACAAAAAAGGCACAGTAATTCCGCTCCCAAAGTCCAATCAACGTTTGTTTGCTCTCAAATACTCTGACAGACGAAAAGCTCGGGAAGCTGAGTTACCCTGCCAGACCACTGCCCACCCACCATTCGCTTTCAGCATCTCTCCACAAACCTCACCGCGCCAACTCCAGAAACAAACGTGGGCTGGGTCTCAGCATCCCGGCTGCCGGGCCCCTCCTGGACCTCTCTCCAAGCCCCAGCCCACACAGCTTTCCACCTCTCATCTGAATGATTCAGGCACCAACCCAAGCGCCCCTTCTCTTCGGGGGATGCTCAGGGTTCGAATTCGGTCCGTGAAGACCCGAAGTGAGCGTCCTCTTCCCATCTCCCCCCCCAGCATGAAACCTTGCGAGGCACGCTCCACACTCAGTCTTTTTCTCCCTTTCCCTTGCAGAGTCCCTCGTTTCAACAGCGTCGGCGCCTTTATTCCCCTGACCTTGTGCGCAAGAAAACCCGCCTGGTCGGTCATTGTCTGGTCCGCGCCTGCCCCCGCCCGCGCCCCAATCAGTGTCACAAAACGCCCCTTTCAACAGATTCCAAACCCTCTTCACCCGGGCTCACCGAGCCTTCAACTTCATTAAGTGTGCGCTACGGCGGCGCTGGAGGAGGCGAAGTTTAAATAAACCGGAGCGGAGGGGGAGGGGGAGGGCCTGGGGAGGGTCGCTAGTTGCAGGGGGGGTTGTTTTTGAAAAGGGGAAAAAAGTCATCAGAGGGAAAAAGTGCTTTGTGACCACGAAGACGCGCCCGCAGTGGCGAGAACAAATTGGATATGGAGGGGAAGTGTCCCCCCACCCCCGCTTTGGCTCCTGGGTGGTCCGGGGCGCCCCTAGAGAAAAAGAGAAAGAAAGATGGGGAGGAATCGGCGGTGAAAAGAATTAACTGCTTTAATTGGGCTGCAAGAGAGAAGTGCAGGAGGTTTGCCGACGGGCCTCGATCACCCAAACCAAATACTCCTCAATAAAATAAAATGTCTGCCCATAACCACGGCTTCAAAACGTACGTCAAAGTTGGAGAGTCGAGGCTGTCCTTCACAGCCATAGAAGGTAAACCTGCAAGATGGGGGAAATTCTGCCCGGAAAGGCCCCCTCCCCCTCCTTGTGGCCTCGGGCCTCGCGGCGCCGGATGAAAAGGAATGAAATTGAACGAAATTGAACGAAATGAAGTGAAATTGACCAGTGAAATTTGCCAATTTTCTTCTCCTTTAAACTGCCCGCTTTCAGCAGCACTCTCTGAACCCCAGGCCGATTTCTGATCATTTTTTTTTCCTCACCTCGGAGAGATGAAGGTGTGCGCTGGATATTTTATTATTGCCACCAATTATTGGGGTCTGTGGGACACAGACCCTCAGCTGCCTCCACTCAGGCAGACAGGGAACCCACCGAGCTGTTCTGGGTGGGATGCTCTGTTTCTCCTCTCAGGAGACTGGGCCCCTAAGTGAGCCAACAACCCTCCATACTTAAAGAGAGTCACCCACTGAGCCCCTCCAGTGTGGAAGGAAAAATAAAGCCAGGCTTTTACCCCTCCCTGCAACTCCTTTATCCTTCCTGCAGTCCAGCTCTCCAGGCCACCTTCTCAGCTACTAACAGGTTGTCCACAAAGAGAATCTGAGAGCCCAGAATTCCACACACCTTGCCTTCCCCGCTGCCTTCAGCTTTTGGAGCATAGCAAGATCCTTCAGAAAATTCCTTTTTTGGCTAATTTTTAAGACTGGTTGGGCATTAATGGATTCTCTCTGGTCCCCAATCCTCCATCATAGTTCTATCTGGCCTAGTCTTGGCCTTCTCCAGGCTCTGAAATCAGAGTCTGAGCCATGAGTTTGGGACCCCAAGATCCCTAAAAATCCCTCGTATACCTCACTCCTCTTCCCCAACCTGCATTTTTCTACCTATCTTATACAGACTTCTCCAACACACACACTGACACCAAGCAATAGGCTCACAGACTCTCTCTCTCTCTCTCTCTCTCTCTCTCTCTCTCTCTCTCTCTCACACACACACACATCAAAGATACATGAAAGAATCCAGAAGAATTTGCCACTCTTTCTGTAAATAGCAGTTATGGAAGTTTCTCTTCTAACTATCCTTAAATACGAATTCTGCCTGACAATTTTCTCATTTCTAGAAAGAAAAAACAAACTGGTGTCTTTTACTTAAAGCTCCAACCTAATATCTGGTAGTGATCTAATCATGGTAAATGAGATCACAGAGCTTCAAAAAGCTTTATTGAAAGCAAACATAGGCACGGCCATGCATTTACACACAAACACACACAGAAGTCACATTTACTTTCTCAAGTGAAAAAAAACAAAATCAAACTCAGAGCAATGGAAGTCACCAAAGCAGCCAGCCAGAAACCATTATCCCAATATTAGCAGAAATTTCATGTCTTACCATTGAATCTAATCTTACTTCCCTGGACTCTTTGCTAAAATGGTGGGAAGGTGGCCACTACATTTGATCTCTCTCCATTCCCTTGATCTCTTAGCAAGATCTCAGTCTGTCTGAGTTTATTCACCATTTATACCTCCAGCCTTGTCTCTTTTCCACTGGCAAAGAGAAAGAGACAGGAGTCCCAGCAGCCCTTCACCATCTCTGGTGTCTTTCCCTGATCTTCACTTAGTCCTCTGCTGCCTGCTTCTCTGTATTGCCAGCCAGTGGGATCCTAGCTGAAGATACCCGGGTAGCTTCCTCTGCACACACCCTTGAACTTTTGACATCTGGGTCTCTGACCTGTCTGTCTTCTTTCTGTTGCTTGTCTCCCAGTTCTTGCTCAATATGGGACTGTTTTCTGGGAAGACATTCTGCGCTCCCCATATTTCTCCTCTCCTATGATCTGGGTAGAACAACAGAGAAAAGAGCAAGCAACCAACTCTACTTCAACCAACGCATCATCTTCAATATATCTGCGAATCTGGCTATGTGAGTCACAGATACAGGCAGAGAGCTAAGGACTCAAAGGGTTACAGAAGACTCCAGTCAGTCTGATGGATTTGCACTATGGCAGTAGCTTCCAGCTATGAACATGACTCAAGGGAGCAGAAGCTTTTCCCTGACAAAGATCTCAAAGACTCTCCTTTAGCTCTTGATGCACCTCTATCCTTCTCAGGTTGCAGAAAAAACTCACAGTTCTGAATGCAAGCTTTCCACTCTGTTGCAGGTGTATATGGTGTCTAAAGACCCTACAGTATGGACAAAAAGAAGTCTCTCTCCTCTTAGAGACGGTAACCCAAGAGTCATAAAAGTGTACACACGCAGACGCATGTTCATGGACATACACAGAAAAAAACCCAATATATCCTGAAATACAATTAACACACACACACACACACACAAAGACAACCCAGACAAACACAAGAACAAACAATAAGCTCCATACGTCCCACACCCAGAAATGCACAGAGCTTTCAGAATATGCACTGACAGACCTATTCTCATATCCCATGGGTATGGTGTTCCCGAGCATTTAGCACGCAGATCTGACCAGGCTATGCTAAAACCCAAACCAGACTCCTCAGGTGCATCTGAAACATAATCTCTCTACCCAACCCCAAGCAAAACCTTCCTGGTACTAGAGTGAAAATGAAAGTGCTTGAGGGGTCACAGGCTTCCCAGAGACCTGGCCCCATTAGCAGCTAAAGGCCAACACTGAAGTACCCCCAGGATGTGAAAAGACCAAACTCTGTCTGCCTGGCCCTTCCTAACTACCCCACGTTGGGGAGCCCTGGGTCTTCAGGAAGAGCCCAGAAAAGAACACGGGAGTTCAGGCAAGCACACCGAGCTGGTGACTGCTGAAGTTCACATACATTTATTCGATTGACACCAATGAGGAAGGGGGGGAGAGACAGATTTTTCTTTTCTTCCACACAAACTATTGGACAATTTCAGTCTCCCCCTAAGTAGACAAGTCTAAATCAATGCACACCAGTGGACACAGAATGCAGGGAGCAGCCTGCTGTACAGATATTTACACATAATTACAGGACCCCAGTCGCAGCTCAGTGCCCTTGGCCACCCTCCCTCACCTCTCCAGTCCCTGCCCTAGACCCTCTGCTGCCACACGAATTGCTTTTAACTACAATAAATACGGCAGGGCCTGGAGAGGAAGGCCTGGGGCCAAGCACGGCAGGCCCACAGGAAAGAAGGGAGGTTTCTTTAAAAGCACCCCAATATGAAAGGAAAAGGTTTTCTTCAGTGGCATGGGCTCTGGGGTTTCTGCAAGGATTGTGGAAGCCCCCGCTTCACCTATCCTTTCGGCTTTGCCGTGTAGACACTGCTTTAGGTTTCAAAGGGAACGACCTTCCTTAGAGAAAAACAAAACAAAAAGATCGAATTTTTAAAGCACAAAGCAGATTAACAAATGTCTTTAAATTATAGTATCAGACAGGCCCGGGTCTCAAAGTTGAAAGAACGAGGGAGAGAAGAAGAAAGGGAAAACTTTCAGCGCCTTTGGTGTTTCTGGCGGAATCTGCAGGGCTTGGGCAGGGGTATCTGCCGGGAAAGTGTTCTTCCAGGGCGCCCAGCCCAGCGGGCGCAGAGACTGGGAAAAAGTGAAGATTCTTCCTCCCCTCTTTTACTACTCAAACCCAGTTGGGATCTTAGCGCGGGACTTCTTCCCATAGACGAGGGCCTTGCCCTGAGCTAGAGCCCGCTTCGTCCCAACTCCGGGGAGATTCTGAGCGTGAAGCCTTAGGTGACAAGCTACTCGCCAGCCCAAGTCTGGAGAGTCTTCATAAATACACTCCCTGAGTTCCGCTGGGACCACAGGAGCTTCCGGGAGAGGCTGGGGAGTGGGGCCTGAGCCCGCTGCAGTCAGAAGTGGCAGCCACTGAGGCCTGCGACTTTGCTGGCGAAAGAGGGCCCTGAGGACACGAGCGCGTCCCCGGGGTGCGAGAGACGGATGTGGCCCGCCACCGGCGCCAGAGCTGGGGCAGTCAGCATGGCCAAAACCTGGGTTTGACCCCCAGGTCGCGCGGCTGCGGAGAACGGCGATCCCGGGGAGCCCTCACCGCCGCTGCCCGGGGGTGCTGCCCCGCCACCGCCGTGGCCCATGATGTGGTCTATAGAGAAGGAAGGCCTATGCCCTGCCCCCGCACCCGCACCCCCGGCGCCCCCGCCTGCGTCCGTCTTGAGGCCCTGGCGCAGGAGTGCCGTGGACAGCCCAGCCGCCGTGCCAGCTTCGGGAGGGCTGAGGGACGCAGGGTAGAACGCTTTGGCACAGCCCAGCTCGGCGCCGAGGAACGCGGGCAGGCCTGCGGGGCCTGGGCCCGAACCTGGTGCCGGCGCAGGGGCCGGGGCCGAAGCTGCGCCCGCGAACACCGAAGCCGTCGGAGGTCCAGGTGGAGGCGCGGCGGCACGGCCCGCAGGAACCGACAGCTGGCAAGGCGCGGCGGCGGCGGCGGCGGCGAAGGCGAAGGCGTGCGGGTGCGGGTGCGGATGCGGCGCTGGCCCCGGTGGGGGTGCGCCGTAGGCCGGGAGCGCCAGCCCGTAGCCGTAGCCATAAGCGCCGTAGGCGGCGAAGCCAGGTAGGAAGGCGCCGGGGTCGCCGGCCGCCGCAGCCCCGCCGCGCAGCAGCAGCTCCGGGTGCGGGTGCGGGTGCGGGTGCGGCGGCGGGAGCGGCTGCCGCTTGAAGCGCTTGCGGCGCCGCAGGAAGCTGCCGTTGTCGAACATGTCGGCAGACTCCGGATCGAGCGTCCAGTAGTTGCCCTTGCCCGGGTTGCCCGGCTCACGAGGGATCTTGACGAAGCAGTCGTTGAGCGACAGATTGTGGCGGATGCTGTTCTGCCAGGCGGGGAACTTCTCCCGGTAGTAGGGGAAGCGGCCGCTGATGAACTCGCAGATCTCGCTCAGCGTCAGGCGCTTCTTGGGGCTCTGCAGGATGGCCATGGTGATGAGCGCGATGTACGAGTACGGCGGCTTCACCAGCGGGCTGCGGCTCGTCGCGCCGCCCGACGGCGGTCCCGGCCCCGGCCCCGCCGCGCCCCGAGCAGCGGCTGCGCCCGGCCCTGGGCTTCCCGCGGCGGCCGCCGCCCCCCGGGGCGCTAGAGCGCGGGGCTCGCCATCCAAGCAGCCTCCCGACTCCTCGTCCTCCGCTACGTCCGCCTCGACTTCCTCCGGGGGAGGCTCGTGGCCTTGGGGGAGCGCGTCCCGGGGGGCGCGGGGCCCGGAGCGGGCTGGGAGCTCCCCCCCACCGCTGCCGCCGCCCACCACGTCTATGTCCGCGTCCGCCTCGGACAGCGCGGCCGGGGAGCTCTCGGAGGACATGATCTCGCAGCAGCAGCTGCCCAGGGTCATGGTGCCGCCGCCGCCGCCTATCTCCGGCTCCGCTCGGGCCGCGGCTCCCGCTCGGCCGCGCTGCCTCTGGGGCGAGTGTGTTTTGCGCGCGGGCGGGGAGGGGGCGGGGGACGGAGGCAGACAGGGAGGGGTGTCCCCCAGATCCGCAGCGCCCCCTGGTGGCCTGGCTCCGCCGCTCCTCGCCACAGTGCGCACCCGGCTCCCTCCGCTGTCCAGGAAGCCAGAGGTGAGACCTGCGCTCTGCCCGCAGGCAAAAGGGGCTCAGACCACCCCTTATCCGGACAGGTCTGGGCTCCCGACCCCCGGGAATGAGAGGGGGTGCTAGGGATTAGTCCCTCCCGCCCAGCGGCTGCCTAAGGCGGAAGAGCCTTGGGCCCGGGGCGGAGCTCCCGGGGCGGGGTGGGGCGGGGCTGGGGAGTCTGGCCCAGAAACTCTGCTCGGGGCCCGGCGGGAGCAAACCGCCGCCGCGCCGGGAGCTCGGCTCGGGTGGCTAAAGGAAGGTTCTCTTCTTCCCGGGGCTCCCGCAAACCCTAGGCAGCCTGGGACCGCCGGTTTAGTGAGCCCAGCCTCTGGAAGTTAAGGCTTGCGCGGGCGCCCGCCAGAACTGGTAGAAGAGGCGACAACCCACATCCATCCTCGCCCAGGCCGCCGGAGCCCAGACGTGGTTGGGACGCGAGTGCGGCTCTGAGACGCCGGGACTGCACCGCCCCGAGAGGGCCCGCTGGGGCGCGACGGCTTCCGACTCAAGCAGCAAAGGGATCATGAGGCGCGAACTCGGCGTTCGCAGCCTCCGGCCTCGGAGAGGTGAGAAATCCGAGTGGAGTCCCGTTTCTGCGCTCCAAAGCCCGGCTGCAGCCGCCCATCCCCTGGTAGAGACTCCCCGGGAATGCGCTGCTATTCGTGCTTCCTTCCGCTGCGGCCGGTTCCCGGGCGCGGACGGGTCCATCGCTCCGAGTCCGCCTTAGCATCCATTGGTCTCGGTCTCTGTGGCTCTGTCTTGCTTTCCGTGGATCTCTGTCCATTTCCGGCGGGAACTGTATTTATCTAGCTGTCTGTTCATAGGTTTGGGAGTTCCTCTCTCAGTGTCCCCTCTCGCCTACCTACAGTCTTGAGAGACACCTCCCCTCCACCCTGCTGGCCGCGGGACTTGGAGGCCTAATAGACAGCGGGATTCCCAGGGAGATCTCACTTAACGAACCCTGCGCTTGGCCCAGAGTTGTCTGTATCTCTCGGGATCTGGGACACATAAGTGGTCTAATATGGTCCTTAAGCCAGCCGGTTCCTGCCCACCCTATTTGGCCTCACCTCTTAACCTCCCTCTGCGACGCGGAAACAAGTCACTCCAGCTCAGACTGGGCCCGTTGCAACTTCTTGGGCGTGGAAGGGGTGCGGGTGCTGGATGTGAGGTAGAACTATGCGAAAGGCCCGGCCGCTGCCCCCACAGCGCCGCACCGTGGCCAAAAAACAGGCCTTGTAAGCCCGAGTCTCCGAGGCTGGCTGCTGTCAAGGGTTTTGTGACCCTCATTCGGTAACTTCCCCTTTGGAGCTGTTTCTGGTCACTATAGCAGTTCAGACCAGAGACCCTAGAATCTGGGCTGCTAAGGTTCCAACCCTGGCTTCACTGTTTAGCAGTTGTTGCTTAAGTAAATGTCTTAAACTCTTTAACCCTGTCTCCTCTGTAAAAATGAAATTAGAAATGCCTACCTAGCATGACTAATAAATAAAAGTTATCCTCTTTTAAGCTATTTATGGAGAGAGTTTCGAGAGTGCTTCGCAGATTTTGGAGTCCTTATTCTCTGTAAGAGAATGAGGTTGGGGCAATGTCCTCTCCCTCCCAAATCTCAGGCCATGGTCCAGGTCACAACTACTCACTGCTACCATCTAGTCACTGTGGAATTCAGTCCCATGTAGAAAAGCCCTGGAAATAGGTTGACAGGGAATTTGCAACTCTGATGAGCTGAATCTGCAGGGTGAATGTGAGGATGGATAGATTCTCTTCTAACTAACAGCAGCCTCTAACTCAAGGGGAGAGTGTAGGCCAGCTCTCCAGTTCTACAGAAGGGGCTGCAGAGGCACAGGGAAGGGGAAAAAGACTCAGGACGCTGCAACCAGATAGAGCAAGACTGGGTAGCAATTTCACTGCCATATAATCCTTACAATAATTTTTCATCCTCTCAAGAGCAGAATGGATAAAAGTCGGGTCTAGCTGCTCAGATCCAGCGAGAGCCAAGTCCTCTGGGCCCCCTCTGGGACCTCTGACCCATGGGATCCACTTGATGTGCTGGGTCCACACAGACTATTCCTGGGAGAAAGAGAAGAGGCCAAGCCTGCAAAACAGAACAATAAATTGGAGAGAGATGGCAGTACTGTCCAAGCCCCCCAAAAAAAGTCCTAGAGAGAAGCTTCTTACAGGAGTTTAGATAAACTCAGGTACAGAGGCCTGCTGGTTTATTTTATCTGGCAAGTCTATGCATACTTTAGACTTGGTCTTTACCACATGGAGATCTCTCTCACATGCCTAGAACCCTACTCAAGGATACCCAGCACCGTCAACCACATTCAACTGTAACCCAGCTTCGATCTGTTTGTGTCTAAGTAAATGGAGAGAAAACCACCATTGCCATATCCAACTCCATTTCACCTTCTGAACATTTTCATTTCAAAAACAACAAATGGAAACAAGTAGTCTCCCACCTTGCCAGTGTCTGGTTCTTCAGCCTTCAGCCTCCTTCCCAAATAGCCTGGTTCCAATGCTTCAGGCAAGATGCTTTTCTGATAGAAGCTGTGGTAACCTCTACCCCCACTTCTGCCTGGCCCTGAGGCAATTCAGTGCTGCTGACACCCTTCATGGGGAAAAGGGATATGTTCATCCTGTGTTCTGCAGGATGGAGGTAGGCTCTGACCTTTAAGGAACCTTCCACACTCTCCACGCATATTTTTATAGAAGTAGGAACTGAAGCCCAGGAGAGCATGTTACTTGCCAGCTTCGGTGGGGTCTTAAGTCAGGATGGGCCCAGGTGTCCAGGCTCCCAGCCCAGAACTTGTCTATCCAAATACGCCCCTTCCCTGACAGAGCTCCCCTTTTGCCTGAGATTTCTGGTAGGCTCATATCCCTTCCAAGATTCTACGCCAATTTATTTTAAACAAGAGTAGGTGCACTGAGGGCTGGGAAGGGGGTGACCCCAGCATTTCTGCTTTTTCTTTGAGTGTCTAGTGGCCCCTGCCTTTCTTGCCTATGGGCTCAGCCCCTTCTACATGGTCCCTCAGTGACTACTGCCCTGAGTGGATGTGTGACTCCTTTTACAAAATCCTGGACACACTCTTGTGCCTATTGTAGCCTCGTGCAATGGGGTACCGGGGTGGGCTGGGATACAAAGTCTTTGGTCTGGCCCAGTCCCCTCACTGCCTGGCCACCTCTCCCCAGAAGCCTGGACCCATCCAGAGGGTGGTGGCAGGACAGGATGTGCCTGTGGCTTTCCATCCCAAAAGGTTTGTGTTGCCAGGGAGAAGTTGTTGCATAATTATTGCTAAGTATGTGTTGATCTCAGTGGCTTCCAGGCCCTGCAGACCAGCCATCCTCAGCTTGGGGAAAAAAGAGCTCTCCAGCACTTATGAGGATATAAGTAAGTCAGCTGCAAAACCTAGAGCTGTGCTCTACCCTACTCTGTACCCCTGGGAAGAACCGTGAAGGCCCTTGGGCAGGCTTCAGATTTCGGACTGGCGGAATGCAGGGTGGGTGAGGGCTGCTACTCCACGCAGCATAGTTGCAGAAGGCTTGAGCTGCATGTGGGATATGAAGCCCCACACTATTCTGATTGGATTTCTCCAACTGGCCAGCCACTGAGAAAGCAGTGCAGGCTGGGCCAGCATTACCTACTCCCTAGAGTGCCACTGGTTTAAAACATGATGCTTTGTTCTCTGGACCTCTCTGTGCCTCCAGAGCAGATCTAAACCTGCTCTGGAGGTTTCCACACATTTGGCTGATGTTGGGACAGGAGACTCCAGATTGTATGATTCGCTCCAGGCACTTCTGCTGAAACACCAAACCAGAGCAGAACAAAGCTTAAGAAGCCAGGTATGGTGGCACACACCTGTAATCTCAACACTCAGGAGGCTGAGACAGGATGATCCTTGCAATTTGGAGACCAGCCTGGGCTACAAAGTGAGCTTGAAGTCACCCTGAACTACATTTACCCTGTCTCAAAAAGATAAAAAAAAAAAAAAAAAAAAGCTTCAGAGTAGGAATCCCACCCCCACCCCACCCCCCGCGCCCAGCTTCATGTACCCCTGATCAGGAAGATGAGCTTGCTTAGGCACCATGCTGGTGGGGCAGTGTGGAGGCTGGGTAACGGGGTGATCAGTGAAGACTGGCTCTCTTGAGAAGAGGGTTAATGGCTCCAGCAGGAGCAGAAACTGCACTGTTGCACATTTTCTGGTGGCTGCCAACCTCATAGTAGTACAGGCTCTGCTTTCTGGAAAGTGGAGAGGCAGGAAGGTAAGAGAGTGTGGGCTTTTCCCAGCCTGCTGCAGCGAAGCCCCAGCTTTCTTGGACTCTTTGATTCCTAGGTCTCAAGGTTTGTTCATCTGCCTGCAGATGCGTGTCTCTTCTCTGGGTGATTGTGATACTGTGTGACCAACACACACCTGTGAAAGATCATCCTTTACGGATGTGACTCTGGCCCTACAGACCTCTCTGCAAGGCTGGCAATCAGACCTACATCTTTTCTCTAAAACCTGAAATGGCAAAGCTTAGGCCATCAGCAAGCAAGGAGTACAGGCAAGGGTTCCCTCGGGGTAAGGGTCAGTAACTGCGGTGGCATGAGGGAGAGGTGAGTGAAGCATCACGCAGCCAATGGCAGAGGTAGGGAAGGCTGGAGCCATGGCCTTCTTCCTACCACTTACGAGCGGGCTCCTTTCTCAGGGTTTTGAATTGGAGCAAGACAGAAAGAAGGGCGCCTAGCCATAGCTACCTAGTACCCCTATGCACCAAGTGCTTGCCCCAGTGTTGAATGCGACGCCACAGTAAGCCTCATAGAAGCCACAGCCCATCTATAAGAGGTCAGCCCTCCTGGCGGGGTAGTGATGGATTCTTGGGGAACTGCGCCCTCTAGAGGAACCTTACATTCATACAAAATCAGGAACGTCACGCCTTGGTCTCCAGCTCACCCCACCCCACGCGGCTCCATCCCTTTGGCAAATTCATCCAGAGACTTAGCCTATGGCTCCATTCTTTGTTCTCATTTCCCTTTTTCTGATCTGTACCCACGTTTCAAATCCCTGCTCAAATACCACTCCCAAAAGAAGCATTCTCCAGAGAAGGCCAGCCTTTCCTCTTCCTGTCTGAACTTCTCAGAGCTTAACGTGCTGGACCCTGGACTCCAGGGCTTGCTCACTACTGTGCACCACACCTGCTCCTTGCCTCACCCAGCCTTCTTTAAAAAGACCCTAATCTACTCCAACTGGCCCTTGGTGGCTAGCTGGGTGCTCTATGTTACTTTCCCTCCTAGCCCCACCAGAAGGTAAAGACTGAAGTTACTTATACCAAAACTAGACTGCCGAGTGTTCAAAGCTCATTTCTCAGATGGAAAAATTGCGATCCAGAGCGCGGGTTGGTTTATCTGAGGCCATGCAGCAACTTGGTAGGAGAGGTAGAACTGAAGCCCTAGTATCTCATTTCCCAGCCAGGACCCTCTCTGTCTCACCCAGATGGGGAGCAGTAGTAGGTGATGGCTTGTTTTGAAGAGGAGGATGTAAGTGGGGGCAGTTTGGGCATAAAAGGGGAAACACAAGAGGCATTAGAGAAGTCAGTACTAGGGGGTCACTGTTCCAGAATGGGGCAGTTTGGAAGTGAGGAAGGGCTCTGATCTGCTGGGTGGTCAGATCTTTCCCTCTACTCTAGGGACTGGGGGTGAGGGGAGGACCAAGTTGCTAAATTCCAAGCTGCTCTGAATGGCTGCAAGTTTCAGCCATTCAGAGCCATGAAAGTTTATGAAACTCATGTTAGCAGGTAGTTTGGGGCTGGAGGATGGGAACAGCCTCAACTGAGGCAGATATCACCTTCCTCCATCAACCATCACCCCACTACCACCACCACCCAAGGAAGGGAGAGGCTGAGGCTTCCCCTGTTAATATATACCTGGGAGGCACTGTTGAGACTGGAAATCTACAGGAAAGGGTGATTTGCCAAGAGTTTGCCTGAGGCCCTAGACATCAGTGCCCAACAGTTTAAGCATTTACAGGAGGGCTTCACTTGGGATGTAGTATGCTTGTTGACACAGGATGCCTGGCAGCAGTGTGGCCTACTTGTCCAGTTTTTCTCCAGTCTCTGCTCTACACTCCTGATTTGTTCTTACTTGTTCACCGTCTGCCTGCCTCTATCCCTTAATCCTTCTTGGTCTA